ATTAATATTTTAAGTTTATTAAATAATTCTCGTGTGTGTCCCGATCAATCCCCGCAAATTAGGGTTTTATGCCATTACGGTTTTCCAAACCCTAATTAGGGTTTTCCAACCCAATACTAGCCCATAAGTACATTGGTTGGGCTTTTAGGTCACTTTGGGCCTTATTGGGCCCATTAGGGTCTCTTTTGGTCCACTAGGGTCTCTTTGGGCCCAATTCTGTCCAAGCATGGTTTCCGTGGTTTCCGGCCAAAAGGGCACAACCACCCATGTGAAGCAACACCCAAAATGCACACAACAAGATCTGGCCACGTAAACACACCCATCAGCGACCTGGAGACGGCAAGCGGTGGTAGAAGGCGGCAACAGTAGCGCCATCTGCGATAACCACCATGGCCGACATCCATGGTGGTTTTTCTTGGGTCTTTTCTGGCCAAATGAACACCTACACCTGCGTCCCATCAACCACATCAAGCTCTTACGGAAAAATCATCCAATCTCAGCCACCCCTGTGCTGGCGTGAGGCAGTCGAACGGAGAAGAGAGAAGAGAAGAAGAAAGCGCGGAGGAAGGATAACGCTACAGCAGTAGCGGTACCGGCCTCATCTCACGGTTTTTTAGCAACCCAAGCGGAACCCTTGTTGTTCACGACATCACAGGCAGAAGGAATGAGGGTGGCATTTCGACGTCGGAGTTCATGGCTCCAAACGGTCTTCGACGGTCCACAGCATCGACAGAAACACAACACGGTTCGTGGTCCATGTTGGCGATGGAAGCAGCTACGGGTTGGATGGTCGATGGCTCGCATCGGCGGTTATGGAGGTGTGACGGCTGGAGAGGAAAGATGGTGAAGGTGGTGGCTGGATATGGCGTTGTTAGGGTTAGGGCATGGGCAATGGAACAGTTTTATGCCCGTTCCATACAAACTATGGACCAAATTGACATAATTAGTCCCTCCTCCTCCCTTTTCTTTCAAAACCAATCCATAATTTACCCTTTAAACCCTTGCTCCAATAATTCTTTTCGATATAAGTCCAACAGTTACAAAACAACCCCTCCTCTACAAATTATTCCCAATTAAGATCCATAAATTACCATTTCTATCCTAGCTTCAAGAATCCCTCTCAGAATAAGTCTGATATTTACTCTCTAACCCTCGGAACTCAAAAGTATATCATTTGGCACCCCGAAACCAATACCCCACTAATTATTATTTGTTTTTGGGCTATAATAATCTAAAATAATAATAGAATTTCTTCTCGGGGGTTCCGGATTTATTATTTAGTTATTCTATTTTAAACGGGATGTTACAGAGTGACACCAATTGTTGAGATGATATTGTGTCACCCACTGATGTTATTAGCTTAATCATTGTGTATCTTTGAGGATGAAACTGCCTAGTCCTTATAAAAAAATCTATTATAAGGCCTTGGGTGTGTCTTTAAAATTTTATTGTTATTCCAGACCCTATCCCTTTGAACATGTTGTCGTATGTATCAAGTCTAGTATTCTGCTGAATCACTGTGCCTTACCCTGTGGCTTGCCCTAATAGAAATGTCTACGGTGCAAGAGATACTTGTTTGGTCCTTTTTAGACAAAAGGTAACTTATGCCCTTGACCTCATATATTATCACCATATTTTGAGGTATGACATTTATCAAACCTTCCCAAGGTACCTAATTGAATTGATGATGGATCACATACTCCAAGCTATTATAATCCTCTTCCTTGATATTAATGATTGGCTGTCAAACCAATAGTTTATGAAATATGTTTACCCATATGTTAATGATCTTAATATGACACTGATGGTGAGTAAAACATTCTAAATGTTGATGTTGAGAAACGTCTGTATCAAAACATACAGTGAGTGAGCATCAAATCACCATATGTCAAAAAGCTCATGTATTACACCATACATCGAGTGAGACATTTAAACATCCCACCTTATTTCGTTGTGAAATATTTGTTCTAATTGATTATGTATTACATCACCAACATTTTCTGAGAGACGTTTGTCTAATGATAACTGTTGGATGAGACAGGAAGAGTCAGTTTTGGGGATTCCAGATTTAGATGAATCTTTCTAACAAAATGATTCCTAATTACGTCATTGGATTTTCTAAATCATTATGAATCCTATAAAAGGAAGATCAAATTCACATTCACGAGTTTACGATCGTTATCTTTCGAAATTCTCTCTCAAAAAAACCCTTCAAAGAATGCTAAAACCTGTAAATAATGTCTACTCATCTCTTCGTCTATGTTCTAACTGAAGGTGCTCTCAAAGCTCACAATACTCCAATAACTCCCATTGTGATCAACTCCACTAACGTTGCATTCTTTGATGCTATTCCACCAAAGCATAAAAACAAGGATTGTAAGTCTTTGTTGAGTTCTTAAAGGTCATCCCTTGAGATATGTTTTTGCTGCTACTACTGATTTGTTCTTCCCAAAGCACATCTATGAGTTTTATTACACATGCACATATGATGAACAATCAGGCTCCATTCAAGGAATTATTGGAAACAGTAATCATGCAATTTATCTCACTGTTCCAATTTTTCGATATGCTCTTTGTCTTCCGAACTTGGTTTAGTACTCAAATCTTCCTTCTACGAAACAATACAAGCAACTCCGGTTATGAAGGAAACATTGATGATTCTATTGCGAAGTCTACTATGTCCTCTAAGCTGATTAATGTAACTCCAACACCCAATGATCCTCCCATCACTTAGTGGATGGCTAAGTGGTTATTTAACCCATATCTCGTACATCAACGGGTTAATTTATTCACCTTTGGTTCTTCCTGCTACCTTATATCCTTTTGATGAGGACACTGATGAAGTTGTTTCAGAATTCGAGGAAGAAGAAAATGGTGATGATGAGGATGCTATGGATGTTGACTTAGATGTTGGGGTCTTAGATAGTGAATTTTCATCAGGGCCTTCCTTTCCATCTCTATCTATTACTATCAGGAAACCTATCATAAGACGTACTGATGCCTCTACTGCTGCTGCCACTGTTTAGTCTCCACCTCGTCTAAACAAGCATATTCGATTTAAATCATCCTCATCTTCATCAGCATCTAAGAAAACCCATTAAGCTCCCAAGTTCCTCTGCTCCCAAACAAAGAAAACGCATTAAGCTCTCTGATGTTATTGGTGAATGAGATCTATCTGTTGAAGAGGCCAGAGCCTTTGTTGCTGAACACGACATAGCAACCAAGAATAGAATCATCTATCAACATGATTCCTCTAAAGTTGTTCCAAGTGTTGCATCTGCTGAAGGAAGTTTATACGTGCACAAGAAAGCCCTTAAGTAATTCAATGATAAAGTTGATAAGAAGAAGAAAATGGATGGAATTCGCAACAAAATTGATCGCTCCACCTAATGCAGCGTGATATGTTTCTTTTGCTTTAAGTTACAGATCCGATATCTTAGTGATATGATTATCTTTGTATACTATATATCTCTTATATATGCATGGTAGTTATCTTTGTATTTTAATCTGTGATATGTAGGGATTTGACTTTAGACTAGTTGTCAATGTAGTATATAAGTTAGACTAGATTATTATGTAGAATACTGCTTTAAGCATTCTCTCTTTGTGAGATATTCTTAATCGAAATTGGTTTTTTATTAGTTATGTTCTTTATTTTTATTGCTTGATACATTTTGTTTATTTCGATACTTTAGATAATCTTATAAATTTGTTATAATATTTAGAAGCTTTTTGATAAACGCTACTTAAATTAACTTTTGATTTACAAGTTTTTGTTTAAAACAAAAGTTAGAACCCAACATTTTTTTTTATTTATTTGAGATTTTTTTTTAATTAAAAACTAAATGCTAGAAACTCTTAAAAGCTATGTATAAACATTCCTAAATCTATTATATATAGGATTTATTTTTTGGATGCAAGCAAGGGTAAATGGGTAAATTGGTTTTCCCTAGTAATTAATATATATATATATATATATATATATATATATATATATATATATATATATATATATATATATATATTAAAACATCGAACTGATATTTTATTTAATTTCATTCTTATATGCACATTTGTTGATGCTATAAGACTTCAACCCTTAAAGATTTTTAAAAGGAAGACATGCTCTGGTCATGTCAAATGTCATTTGATCATTATTAATAAGTCAATAAACAATTTTCTTTTATATCATTCGACCACTTAAAATAATTTATTATTGACAACAAATCGAATCAAAATAAGCTAGTATTACCAAGCTTTAAATTAAAATAAAATTTTATATATATTTTTTTCAAAATAAGACTAAAACTCTTAACGATAAATGTCTATCAATTTGAAATACTGCTAGCCAAATTTTTTGATAAAACCCTTAATCTTTGATTGAGAAATATATATCCATCAACTTATTGATGTTTTGTCAAATAGGACCTTAACCTTAAAATAAATAATCACAAACACTCCCTTATTTTCATTCCTTGACATAGCTATTTTGGGAAACATAATTATGGTGATAGGGAATATGATTGCATTTGAAGATATGATTGAAGATATACCAGGGTGAGTTTTCATTTTCACCCAACAACCGCATCAATTAATTCATTAAAGTGTCTACCATCAAACCACCACACTCCTTATTAGTTATTATGGGAGAGTTTTTAGTACGTGATCATAATGTCCTTTTAATATCAACAAATATATATATATATATATATATATATATATATATATATATATATATATATATATATATATATATATATATATATTATATATATATATATATATATATATTATATATATATATATATAGATACCCTTTGTAGTCTTTGCATTAAAACAAGTTAGTTAAAGAGCTTTCTCTTCAAAAAAAATAGAAAAACTCTTGAAAAAGCCAAAAAAAGTTCTTTTCTCGGTAATTCCAAATTCCAAAATCGTATTATTTCGAAACTTCGAATTCTGTCTCTTAAATCCTTTTTTTTTTTTTTTTTTTTTTTTTGCCTCAACACACTTCCCTCATGCCATTTCACTCACCAGTCAACAAGCTCCCAAATCGAAATGGGCGTGAATTAAAAACCTGTGAAGTTGCACAGACAACAAAGATCCTGTCTACACATTCATAAAACCCACATAATTCTTGAATCTTTTAAGCTTTTAAGCAACAATTCATTTTGCCCCACATGGAGAGAAGACACAAGATTATGCTAATTGTGGCGTTGTCCTCTTCTTTTACTTTATTCGTTACTCTAGCTTTGATTTATCTCTGCAGAAGTAAAAGGTGTTCAAAAGATGAATCTTGGGATAAAGAATCAAACATTGAAGTTGATGACATGGAGATGAAAGGGGATTTATTGAGGTTTGAAGGTGGTGAAGATCTAAATTGTTTTGATATATTGGATGCTCCTGGTGAAGTGATTGGTAAATCCAGTTATGGAACTCTTTATAGAGCTAATTTGGTGAGAAATGATTCAGTTGTGGTGTTAAGATTCTTGAGACCAACTTGCACCGAGAAGGTACAAGATGTTATGCATGTGGTACAACTTCTTGGGTCAATTAGGCATCCTAATTTGGTGCCTCTTTGTGGGTTCTATCTTGGTCCTAGAGGTGAAAAGCTTTTGGTTCATCCCTTCTATAGGAGAGGAAATCTTGCTCAATTCATTAGAGGTATATTTTATTTATTTTTAATTTGAAGGTTGTAATTTGAATTGGAACCTTGAAACATATAAAATTTTGCAATAAAGATTTGATCTTTCAATTGGGTTTTGTTTAGTTTTGCTTGAAACAGTTTCACTAAACCTCTAGCAAAGTAGCAATGTAGTACAAGAATTTTGATCTTTAAAATGGGTTTTGTTTATTTTACTTGAAGTTAATTCCCTTAGCCTCTAGCATTATTGTACGTTACGCATCTTGTGTTGTACATTGTTAGACCAAAAAGGTTAAAGATTCCTTGGCTTTAATAACCAACCACTCTTTATGGTTTTCTTTTTCAAACTTCCTCAACAAAGATTTGATTTTTCAATTGGGTTTTGTTTGATTTCACTTGAAACAGATTCCATAAACATCTAGCAATGTAGTACCTTATGCTTCTTCTCTTGTACATTTGGCAGATGGAAACGGTGAATCTCTGAAATGGAGTGTGATTTACAGGATATCAATTGGCATTGCTGGAGGATTACACTATCTCCATACAGGGCTTCAAAACCCAGTTATTCATGGAAATTTAAAATCAAAAAACATACTTTTAGGCCGAAATCAACAGCCAATTGTGTCTGATTTCGGTCTACATCTGCTCTTGAACCCATCTGCAACACAAGAAATGCTCGAAGACGCTGCTCTTGAAGGGTACAACCAACCCAAATCGATTAAAGCAAATGCTACGAATCTTGAAACCGATATATTTAATTTCGGAGTCATTTTATTCGAATTACTTACTGGTAAAGAACCCACGAGTAATGAAAAAGCAAACCCAGATCGAGATTTCAATTCTAACGCAATCTTGGATCATCGGATATTGGGTTTTTCCAATCCTGAAAATCGAGTTGATGAAGAACACATTCTGAAACTGACTGAGATTGCAATCGCGTGTTGTTCTTCATCGCCTTCTCTCAGGCCCAACATAAAGCAAATCTGCAAGAAGCTACGAGAGATCGGATCATAACCGGTAT